GACCAAGTTCCATAACCTCAAAACAAGTTACAGCAACGGACTCAGCTGATGCTCCAGATCCAGGCATTACTCTATACAGTCCGTGTAAAGAAAAGTAAGTTCAGAAACTATGCAGAGGCATACTGGTACGCAAGCAGAAAATGGACATTGGAAAGTCAGGCAGAGTTGGTACACCTGTAGCTTTTCAACTTCTACATCAGAATCAAGCAACTAAAGATTTATTAGGTTATAGTAACTCAGTTGTCATATTTCACTCTAATAAGCAGGTTGTAGACAGTGGGTAGATCCCAATACAGGTCAAGGCCCCGTCTCACAAAGCTCTTGTAAGCCTAAGATCTTGTAACTTTTCTTGTAGCATTCGTACCTCCCATGTTACAGTATAGGAGGTACGAATGCTACGAGAAAAGTTATGAGATCTTAGGCTTATGTCATGGAATAATTATTCATACAAAATTCATTATTAATTAGTACCACTACAAGCAACATATTAGGATTCAGATATTAGGAAAATATATAGAATACTAGTATTAGTTTCATCATGTATCAGTAATAGCTTAGAGAAAGACCCCAGTCAAAAGTAGTAAAACTCATCTCACAGACATACTATTGAAAAAGGTGTAACTTACGGCTGCACAATTTCACAGATGTTCAAGATAAAATCCTAGCCAAAGGTATCAAGGAATCAAGCTGTTAGTAACACAAAGTTATGTCTAGACGGTTTAATAAACTGTTTTAATAAAGAAAACGTCATCGCCCATATTACAATAACATTAAGCAAACACCAATCTAGGGTCATTAAGACATGGCCCAGAGTAAACACATCTATTGTAATCCAAGCACCTATAATTGTCACATCAACTTAGACTCGTTAAGATCTAGCCCAGGGTAAGCATCCAAGCATCCAGTAAAAGTGCCAACGAGATTAGTGCCAGTTGAAATAGGATTAGCAGGATAAGTAGGTCATTGAAGTTGTTCTTGAAGGACACACCCCATTTTGTATATTCTGTATTTCATAGGCTAATGTAGGTTACACCTATTTTTGTATCAGTCAACCAATCGTAATCTCTTTATTGTTTTAATTGTAGATAAAAAGTCGCCAACTCCATTTGTTCATCAGTACGGTTTAGGCTCCCAACACAGGTTAGCTCTTGCCCTCAACCCAGAGGGTTGTACTGACTCTCTGTGGCCACCCATGTTATTCCATTCTTGTAAATAAAATTGTGATTAGCTTCTTGTGACTTTGGACTCTTTGCTGAGTTAATTCCCCCAAGCAGACCAGCACGCCAGTTAGATAAGGGGTTTCACCGGAACCATCACTTGGACCCAAGACCCTTATCATAACACTTACGAGAGCCTTGTGAAATGGGGCCCAGGGCATCATTTTCACAAATTTATCATAACTCTACGACTGTTGTAAGGCCCATAGCTTAACATAGTCTTGCAACAGGTGCAGCACCAATTTCAGAAAGTGATCGCAACTCTACGACAATCGTGAAACCTATAGTTTACATAGACTTACTCAGTTGTTGTTCATTCTTACAAGGCACTTGTAACTATATGACTGTCATAAAGACTACAGTTTAACATAGACCTACTCAGTTGGAGTACCCCTTTCACTAGGCAATCGTAACTAAATGACTGTCGTAAAGACTACACTTTGACATAGACTTACTCAGTTGTAGTACCCCTTTCACTAGGCAATCGTAACTATATGACTGTCGTAAAGTCTACACTTTGACATAGACTTACTCAGTTGTAGTACCCCTTTCACTAGGCAATCGTAACTATATGACTGTCGTAAAGTCTAGAGTTTGCCATAGACTTACCCCAGTTGTAGCACCCCTTTCACAAAGCAATTGTAACTATATGACTGTCGGTAAGCTAATAGTTTGCCATAGACTTAACCCAGTTGTAGCACCGCTTTCACAAAGCAATTGTAACTATACAACTATCGTAAAGCCTATAGTTAGACATAGATTTACGACAGCCAAGACATAGAGCTATCATTGCATTGTTAAATGGGACAGAAAAGCGAGGATTTATTAATAGCATACTTTGAAATAACATTTATTTATGTAGGCTACATTTACACAAGTATACTGGACAAACATACCGAAAATTTATAAACCATTTAATAAACAGAATATCAAATATTCTTCTATTTTTTTGGAAATGTGCTTTTCTTCTTTTATATTTTTTATTAAACATTTTTTATTGTGAGAGCCATGCGACACACTTGATAAATGCACACATCTATGCCTGAATGCTATAGACTAATGGTCACTGCAGTAGTGATCCCTTCTAACTACACATCATCAACACAATGTTTACATGAACTTTTGTGACTGTTAGACTGAAATATGTGGTGGGGGTCCCATGAGGAGATAACTGTGTGAGTGAGTGAGTGTAGTTTTTAGCCGCGTTTAGCAATAATTTAGCAATATCACTGCCGCAAGACACAAGAAATGGGCTTCACACATTGTACTTATGTGGGGAATAGAACCCAGGTCTTTGGTGCGATGAGCAAACACTTTAACCACAAGGCTACCTCACTGCCCCATTAGATGACTGAGGGTAAGATCAACAGCCTTTGATAAATATCCTGCTTCTCCTACTGTTAAAGGGCGGTGGGGTAGCCTGGTGGTTAAAGCGTTGGCTCGTCACGCCGAAGACCCGGGTTCGAATCCCCACATGGGTAAAATGTGTGAAGCCCATTTCTGGTGTCCCCCGCCGTGATGTTGCTGGAATATTGCTAAAAGGGGCGTAAAACCAAACTCAGTCAGTCCTACTGTTAAACGTTTTACGTATAGCTTGATGACAGCTTACCCAACATTGAAAACCTCAAATCAAAATAAAATCAACAGATACATTATAGTAAATCCACCCTGAACATACGAGGATTGTTTTGTATTGATGTATTGTATTGATGGTGATGTTTGCACAATGTTTGATGACGAGGATGTGTTGTGTATGATGCTTTTGTACTACGACAACAACAAATGTACTTTGGGAAATAAAAATATTTAAAAAACCAAAAAAAACCCAAAGAAATCTAAAAAAATAAAATAAAATAAAATAAAATAAAATAAATAAAATCAAGAATGAAACTGCCACCAATACTGAGTGAATCTACCTGACAGAGAGCCTCAAGCCATACATATTAATCTTTCAAGTAATAGTCCAAAGTGCTGATGTCAATGAATCTTTAAGTGCCCTCGTGAAACTTAGCACCTCTGTCCCTATTAGCGACCACAACTTCCCAGAGCTGCTTGACCAAGCCGGTCATTTAACTTACCGCAATGCGATTGCAGGAGATGTTGCCATGGTAACAAATAACATAAAAATTTAGGGGCAGAAGGAATTCGAAGTCACCAAAGTGTGAGCTGGTTATTTATTATTCATTGTGGTAACTGCCTTAGTCTGAGAAACAATAAACTGACTTAAAGCTGGAGAGACACATTGTGTGGGATATCTCCACAAGGCTGAATCAGCAATCTGGGTACTTAAATGATTTTGAAGATGGGCCTCAGTTCCCGGCTTGAGCTATATAGTCAGAGATGCCAATTCCAAAGTGTTGCAAATAGTACTTTCAAGGATCAAAATTAGTAGTTTGACCATAAAATTCGTAGTCAACTAAATACTTAAAATCATGATGGACTCTGAGTCTGAGAAAGATAATATGACACTAATCAAGTGTGAAGCTTTAATTTCACGTACCTCCAACAGCAGATTTCCAAATTATCAGCATTACGTTTCATCTTGTTTCTTTTTGGCAAAAATGTATTTAATCGACGAAAATATATGTTTTCGTTAATTTATCAGAATTTTAATTAATTTTCTTCAAATTTCTAAAATGCCTAGTGCAATCGTATTGGCGTCTTTGAGGTTAAAATTCGTAGTGACTACGAAAATATCGTAGAGGTTGGCATCTCTGTATAGTAGACTCCTATCTTACATTCATGGACAGGATAGTGGTTGTATTGTGGAGATAATCAGAGGCAAAGTCTGCTGTAAATGTCTGTAAAATTACCCAAACTGGAATTTCCACATTCCTGGCCTGTTAATGTGATAATAGGTGTACAATGATGGTAAAAATATAAATAAAGGAGACAAACTATTTCTTGTTTCTGTGTATGTATGTTTCATTTCTCTGTGTGTTTGTGTCTCTGTCTCGCTCTGTGCTTCTCTGTGTGTGTGCATGTGCGTGTCTATTGCGTGTGCTAGCTCTGCTCCATTTTATGGTGACACAGGTCATCATCGGAGGATATGTAGACCCTGTGTAATTAGCCTGTAGAATGTCCATTAGACTAAGGCTTAGTCTCTGAATATATATAATTTTGATAGTAACAAACAAGCCAATTTATATTGAAAGGGAGACCAGAGATTCAGAACCTGAACCTGAGGAAATCTAAACTTGCTTTATTTAGGGCTTTAGCACCGCAGAGAGGGCTTGGCAGTAGGGAAATTAATGTGGTTCAGGGACTGTGAGACAGACTAAATGGCCATCTGTGCACTCCGATCTACTAGATCAGCAAAGGGCAAAGGCTCCTTGTAACTCTGCATAAGAACTAGGGCTGGCGATTAATATAGATCTTAGAGATTGATAATCATTACAAAAATATTGATTGATTGATTATTGATAAATATTGGGCAAGTGCCTTTGAGCCAAAATGCATAAAATGTCTGAAAGTAAGTGGTGAAGTACTTATCCATTGATTTCTAACAAAGTAGCATCATGAACATAATTTAGAAGCAGACCCCTAACTTTGCGTATTTATGTATTTATGTTTTTATGTATGAGATTATCAATGATACAATTTTGATATAAATAATTATTGATAATTTTTACCAGTATATTCCTGACATATTTCTGAAGATATTTCTGATTATCAATCTTTTCAGCCAGCTCTAAAAAATAAATAAATTGGAAACACGATCTAGAAAAGATTCATAAGGTTCATGAATGACCTTCAGCAGTGGACTCAAGCAGTATAACTTACAAGCCACTGGACACAGTTGAGATGGCCTTTCTGAGCGGCAGCATGGATGACAGCCATGCCATCAAAGGAGTTGATCTTGAGGGAGCCATTCGCCGTGAGAACCAGAAACTTTAGTATGTCAAGCAGGCCAGACTGGCAGGCGAGATATACCGCTGTGACACCATTGTTCATCTGGAGGTTCACGGATCTACAACAGTTGAAAGAAGACATTAAAAAATGGTCATGTGACTGGTGACACTGGCAACACGTCACACGTTAAATCTGGCCGACATGACAAGATGTTTTGAGTGAGTGAGTGTGTGACTGAGTGAGTTTGATTTTACCCAATTTTTAGCAATATTCCAGCAGTATCAAGGCAGGGACTACCAGAAATGTGTTTCACAGATTGCACCCATGTGGAGAATCGAACCTTGGTCTTTGCCATGATGAATAAACGCTTGAACCACTGCCCTACCCCACTGCCCCCTTAAGTTAAGTAACCACACAATGATGGTTTCCTTGTTGTTTCTTGTGTTCAATACTGCAATATAGTATTCCAGCTGCATGACGGCAGCCTGCTTATAATCAATGTGGTTCAGACATTTTAGCGATCATAGATCCACATATTTGCATAAAGTATGCAGAACATGTCTCTATATCCCAACTAACTCGGTGCATGTGGACAGGATTGCATACAAATAGGTATAAAACTATGAAAATCATTAGGAATATAAACACATTGTGCATAATTACCAAATGTTGCATTTTCAGTTTGGATACCTTCATCTTTACAGACCCGTGAAGGTCTGGGTTAGAATATTGATCTTCAGTAACCCATGCTTGTCGTAAGACTCATTTGTCAAAACTTGTTGCCACGGAAACGGCAAAAATATTTTATTTAGAATTCCAAAACTACCAAAAGGCACCAGTACACCATCAGATCTATCTATGTGCCAAATTTGGTGAAGAAATAGTGAACGGTTTTAGAGTTCTGCTCCAGAATAGAGCACTACCACTAATTTCATTCTAAGTCGAATTTGTTGGCATGGAAACGCCAAAAATGTTTTATTCAGAATTCCAAAACTACCAAAAGGCACCAGTACTCCACCAGATCTATCTATGTGCCAAGTTTATTGAAGAAATATTAAACGGTTTTAGAGTTCTGCTCCGCGGAAAAGACAAATGTGCACGGAAGGACGGACGGATGGACTGACGCACGCACGGACGGAGTCCATTTTAATACCTCCCGCAAAACACGTTGCGGGGGATAATAAACTGAAGCTCCACCTGGGCGTGTGTATGTGTGTATTTCAGACAATACACACTCTCCTTTTTTATGAGTGGACTCTTTAGGAACAAGCTGAAACACACACAGTCATGAATATTTCATGTGCCCGTTTTCCAAATACATAAAAGCTGTATCTGGGGTGGGGAATGGGGTACATTCAATTTTATATATGGTCCGATGTGTAATCAACTTCTCCGTAGCATCACACAGATGTTGCCATACCATGACTGTTGTTATACTTTTAGAGATCAATGCCTATTGCATCTACATTATTAATCTAATGCAAATGGAAGAATAGATATGGATGTTATATTAAAATGATATATGCCAAATGAATAAAAATAACAAATATTCTTCTTCTTCTATTATTATTCCACAGCATGTGAAAGCACATACATTGTTAAAAAATACTTGGTTCAATTAATCACTTATGTGTTTCAAATGTATTAGATCTATTTATTATTAATAATATATAGTATGACCAGAAATTATTGAGAATTTTAGGAATATGTTTAATTGGATTTCTAGTATAAACAACCTTGACCAGCTATCAAGTGCTTGGTTTCATTCAAGAGAGACAACTCCGTTAATCCTTTTTCATTAGTTTGTGAAGAGTTATCACCCCTTGCACTTGCTAGCAGACGACATTTTCAGTGATCCTCAGTCTAGTATGGATGATTTAGAGATGAGGAAGTTGATTTTAGAGTATGATAACAAGGACATCAGATCAGCTAAGGTGATTTCAAGTAGAATAGGCATCCCTTTGTCCACTGTTTATCGTGTTTTGAAAAATATTGCAAATGGATATGGCATTGAGCACCAGGGAGGCACAGGTAGGCCCAGAAAATTGACTGCCGGTGACAGGAGGCGGCTTGGTATTCTTGTTTCTAAAAACAAAAGAAGGAGTTTGGAAAACTTAAGGCTGGATATGATTGATAGAGGAACTGTGGCTGTCTGTAAGGAGACAATTAGAACTGAGCTGCATGCAATGGGTTGGCAGGAAAGTCGAGGAATTCCATCACCGATCATGAAACCTGAACAAAAGGAGCGAAGGTTGAACTGGTGCTTACAGCATAGAAATATTAACTGGGACAATGTGATTTTCTCAGATGAAAGTTCTGTGTGGCTGTTTCCTAATACACTGAAATTCAGGACCATACAAACTGAAAAACCTTTGTATCAGCGCCCAAAGTACAGTCCGAAATTTAACATGTGGGATGGCATATCTGTGTTAGGGGCAACGCCCCTCTGTGTATTTGAAGGGAATATGAACAGTGAGCGGTACACAGATATTCTTGAGGGACATTTACTTCCATCTGCTCACGTGTTCTATGGAAATGTTTGGATTTTCCAGCAAGACAACGACCCAAAACATCGTTCCAAGCATTCACAGGCCAGGTTTCGGACCCAAAATATGACATTATTAGATTGGCCAAGCTATAGCCCTGACCTAAATCCAATGGAAAATGAATGGGGACTTATGAAGGAAAGTGTCAATAAGAAAAATCTGACAAATATTGCTGAAATGAAAGAAGAGGTGGTCCGATATTGGGACAGCATGGACCACGACTTTCTAACTTCTTTGATCAGTAGTATGCCCCGCCGCACTGAAGCCTGCATTGCTACCCATGGTGACTTGACAAAATACTGACTGTTCACCTGTCTTTGAATCTGGAGTTATGTTCTGCTAATATTCACATTTCATACGTGAGTAATGAGTGAAAAATAATAATAATTACAATCTTAAATTCTCAATAATTTCTGGTTGTACTGTAAAGTGGTAACAACCATTTTCTAGTTACTATTACTGGGCGTTCAGTTTATTTCCAACACACAACAAGAGAAAATGGGTCCAAATCATCGAATCATACGTCATCAAATTTGTTAAAATAAAAGATGCTAACTATATTCAATCAATGTGGTCATTCAGATCCATGTTTTATGTGTACAATTTCGTGACAATAGAGAGCTGACACGAAATATCAAAGCACATGTCGGTAATGAAAATAGGGTGTGTGTCATTGTTTACATATCGCCCATGTAACGACGCTTTTCGTGTCTCGAAACTGCTTAAATAACATTTTCGTACACTAAAAGTAACGATGGGTGTTGTTTTGGTGACGTCTACTTTGCCACAGTATCGATGAAAATGCTATGAAAAAATTCTAACCACCCGTTCTCGGATTTTTCTATAGTAAATGTATGGTGTGTCGCCCCGCAGTGATGGACGGCATGCGGTAATGGTTACCGGGGTCAGTGTCAGAGCGTTAGTGCACCAGACCCTGGGAGCCAGGCTGCAGTAAATCTAAAAACATTTTGTAAGTCCCGCCAAACCCTAAATAGTAGCAGCTGTCTGATTGGTTCAATCCATTTAGCTGTCTCGTGTTTGATTGGACGGTCATAGGTCGCTCAAAGTTAGCTGACGCGACCTTCTGCTAGGGTTTGTTAGAGTTGAGTTGAGTTGAGTTGAGTTGAGTTGAGTTGAGTTGAGTCGGGTTGGGTTAGGCTGGGTTGAGTTGGGTTGAGTTGGGTCAGGTTGGGTTGGGTTGAGTTGAGTTGGGTCAGGTTGGGTTAGGCTGGGTTTGTTTAGGTTGGGTTAGGCTGGGTTGGTTTAGGTTGGGTTAGGCTGGGTTGGGTTGAGTTGGATTGGGTCAGGTTGGGTCAGGTTGGGTTGAGTTGGGTTGGGTTGAATTGGGTTGAGTTGGGTTGGGCTGAGTTGGGTTGGGTTGGGTTGGGTTGGGTTGGGTTGGGTTGGGCTGAGTTGGATTTGGTCAGGTTGGGCTGGGTCAGGTTAGGCTGTGATGGTTTGGGTTGGTTTGCATTGAGAGTGAGTTGAGGTGAAAGGGGGATCTTCCATTGTGTTCAACACCTCTGCACTCACCAGTTACGTGTTGTATACATGTGTGTCAGCCAGTCCAGGCTGAGGCCAGTTCTATAGCGATAACCTACTCAGGCACTGTCCCAGTTTAACATGGATACCCATTGAGATGTCACATCTGATCCCCTTAATAAAACACTGTGGGCTATAACTGGCTGAATGCTATGAGAGTGAGGTAAAGCGAGGTTAAGGTCATTGTTCCTGATTATGTTACTTATGTAGCTGTGTGCACCGATTTGTGTGGCTACTTGTAACAGTATCAGTCCAGACTGACATGCTTGTGTTGAACATGAACACCAAGATCAATCACAGAATACAAACCCTCTGTGTTTTATCCTCTTAATGCCAAGCACCAGGAGTGAGTGAGTGAGTGAGTGAGCGAGTGTGTGGGTGGGTGAGCACACCAGAGATTTAGATGTTTTCTTTGGATAAGTTAAACAGAGTGAGTGAGAGTGAGTTTAGTTTTACGCTGCTTTTAGCAATATCCCAGCAATATCACAGCGGGGAACACCAGAAATGGGTTTCACCTATTGTGCCCATGTGGGGAATCAAACCTGGGTGTTCAGCATGTCGAGCGAACGCCTTAACCACTAGGCTACCCAACCGCGCCTACCAAGCACCAGGAAGTGTAACAAGAAGTACTGTGACATTACATGTATATCTATAGGTATGATGTGGTTTGGAATCAAACCACCACTCTTTCTTTCCCCAGGCCTCCGTGGTGTAGTGGTTAGAGCTGCGATCCCCAGCCATGTCATACCAAAAGACGTTATTATTCTCTCTCAAAATATTCTTTCAAAACATGAAATGAGGATGCTTTTGTCTCTGGTAAATCCAAAATTTCAAAGTTTTCCTTTTCACATTTCTTTGGTATTATTCTATAGCTGGTATTCCTATCAATAACTGTACATGATTTTAGTACATTATAACAGAAGAGGGAGGGAGGGAGTGAGTGAGTTTAATTTTACACCGCTTTTAGCAATATTCCAGCAATATCATGGCGGGGGACACCAGAAATGGGCTTCACATATTGTACTCATGT